CAAAACACGTGTGGAGATATCTTCAAGGCATAAAGGGTAAAAGCAACGTATCCGTCAAAAATAAGAAAAAAATCCTCAACGCCTCAATAGCCATGAAAGGGTTGTTTGTTATTGAATCCTTTCACTCGTTGTGAGTGTATGCGTATGTGTTTTGGTAAACCACAATGTTTATTTAAGCTTTTCATTAGTCTAACATCCTGACAAAGTTAAATTTAACGGCAGCCAGGTGAATGGAATTTTGACAATGAATGAAAAGATTTTCGGGTTTATTGGGTATAAAGTTGATATCTATTAAAAAGTTCCAACAGACGCTGCGCCATGTTGAACTTAAATATCGAACGACCGTAATGATAAATTACTTTGTTTACATTTTGGCTTTGTCGTAACTTTGTTGAATAGAAAATCGGGTGTAAATGACAGGAAGGAAGGAAGCTGTGTCCCAACATATACACACACAAATCCATAAATGACACACATAAATTCTTTGTTGAAATGAGTATTTTCAAAAGATCTGCCATTGAAGCGGTGATACGATTTTTACGATAGGATTCTTTTATAGGCATTTTTGTTTAAGTCAAGCAAATTGATTTTTGTTTTTTTTGGTAACGAGGTAGTACAATATTTAATTTAATAAAAGGGGTAAACTAGAAACGGCAACAATGTTATAAGGATTGTTCCCGGTAGAATCTTTTGTGGAAATCTATTTCGGAAGTTATTTTATGTGGGGTTGCCAATAAACAAGAGAGTCATTGACTAACAATGTTTTCTAAACTTTTAAATATCAAATATGAAAATATCACCATCACCAAGTCAACGCCAACACTGTTGACAACTTGGACTGCGGAGATTAAGCTACCTTGTATTCTACAGGTCGATGAGTTAAAAAAAATTCCCCAAGCTTCTAGCGATCACATTCGATAGCCTTTATAAATCGTCTGAGAACGCCACAGCCATGAAACAATCATGGCGAAGTTCCAAAAAATGGCAATACCATGGGAAAGCAACGAAAAAAAAATGCGATGGAAAGGGACTGGAGTAAGGAAATGCCCTGTTCTTCTACATCAGTCTTATTTGCGTCCATGCCCCGAAGGAAGACAAAAATCAACAGATCAAAGACATTTTTTCGAGCCCCTAGAAACAGCATATGACCGCTGCCCTGGCCATGACATTAAAATTCCGCTAAGAGATTTTAATGCAAAAATCGGAAGGGAAGCATTTCGATATACACAAGGCCACCTGGATTATGTTGTTTTAGAAGTTCGATCGATACGAGGAGTGAATATTGATTCTGACCATAACCTTGTGGCAGCCAAGGTTCGCACTCGTCTTAATGAAGCAGCAAAGATGCGATTTAATGTAACACGGAAACTCGACGTCGAAAAGCTGCAAACACAGCATATAGCAGAAGCCTACTCCGCTCAACTTATCCACTTGCAAGTCGAAAACACTCCTTGTTCCGATAATAATAATAATATAGAAGCACGATGACAAAGAATTTTCCACTTCGTACAAAGGAGAGAAAAGACACGTATTTTCAAAAAAAGAAGAAGGGACAGAAAAAAGTGAGCGTGAGCTAATCGAGATGTACAGGAGTCAGCATGAAGTCCGGTAATTTTACTAACGAGTAAAATCACCAAACCGAAGGCTTTTGTGCAGGCACATCTTCCTGTAGAGATGAAGAAGAAAACCTGGTGACAGATATAGATACCGTGTTGAGGATCTTGAAGGAGCATTTTGATACGCTTCTGGTTTCAAATGGTGGCGGTGAAGAAGATTCCCCAGAACCAATGAGAGAATAGTATGTGCCAACTGTAGAGGAATAAGTCTCCTTCCCATCGCATATAAAGTGCTATCCAGCGTGATGTGTGGATGACTGAAGTCAATGCTATTATTGGACCATGCGGCTTCAGACCTGGCAAATCAACGATAGATCAGACACACACTGCGTCAAATCCTTGGAAAAGGCTCACGAGAAACACATCGTCATATTCCACTAATTCGTGGACTATAAAACCGCATTCGACAGCCCAATCAGCTCAGAGGTGTTTAATGCCATGTCTGCATTCCTTCAAAATTAATACGGCTATGCAGGATAACTTTAACTGGTACAATGTCAGCAGTTAAAGTATGAAAGGACCTCTCGGAGCCCTTCAATACCAAACGAGGATTCAGACAAGGTGACAGTTTGTCGTGTAATATTTTTAACATCCTGCTGGAAAAGGTCATACGAGACGCAAAGGTGAACAGAAATGGTACTCTGTACACCAAACTACACATGTTACTCGCCTACGCCGATGACATCGACATAATGGGTCCAACATTGAGAGCGGTAACAGCCTACTTTGAACAAATTGTGAAAGTGTCTGCCAAAGTGGGTCTGACAGTAAATGGCGAGAAGGCCAAGTTGATGGTATCAACGCATAAGACGTCCAGTAGACACGGACAAACTGTGGAACTTGAGAACTACAGCTTCGAGGTAGTTACAGATTTTTTATACCTTGGCACCGCCATAAATAATACGAATGACATCAGTTTTTAAATTCGGAGAAGGATTGTGATGGCCAACAGATGCTATTTAGAAAGAAAACCAGACCAAACTCACACTTTAGAAGATGCTGATACACTGCGTGCTGTTATATGGATCTGAAGCATGGGTACTTGCGCAACCAGACGAGGCACCTCTTGGGGTGTTTGAAAGAAAAATTCTCCGAAAGATCTAAGGGCCGATCTGCGTCGACGGTGAATATCGGCGTCGAATGGACCACGAGCTTTACAATTTATATGCAGACATCGACACGGTCAGTCGTATTGAGCTGCAGCGACTACGGTGGCTAGGTCGATTTATGCATGTCCGTCCGTCCGTCTGTCTGTCCATGTTAAATTTTAAAGAAGGTACAGGTCGCAATTATAATCCGAATTGGATGAAATTTGTCACAGGTCACTTATTCGGCCCAAGGACGAACCCTATTGAAATTGGGAAAAATCGGTTCAGATTTAAATAAAGCTCCCATATATATTTTCGTACTGAATTAAGTCTAGAACGATGTGTGTAAAATTTCGTGAAAATCGGTTCAGATTTAGATATAGCTCTCATATATATTTTCGTCCGATTTAAGGTAAATAGCGCACCAAAGTCCATATATATCCTTCGATTTGCACGAAATTTGGCATAGAGTACTGAATGAAGTCTAGAATGATGTGTGCTAAGTTTCGAGAAAACCTGGTCAGATTTAGATATAGCTCCCATATATAGTTTCGTCCGGTTTATTGTAAATGGTGCACCAAAGTCCCTATATATCTTTTGATTTGCACGAAATTTGGCATAGAGTACTGAATTAGACCCAGAATGATGCGTGCTAAGTTTCCTGAAAATCGGTTCAGATTAGCTTCCATATATAACTTCGACCTATTCATATGGTCGTATGGGTGCCTGATTGATACATGAAGCATACAAAATAGTGTGTGCTTTAAATCTGTTTATAAAATTTAGAATAGGTTGCAGAATGGCATGTGCTGGAATTGATGTTAGTCGGTTTACTTATAGATAAAGATCGCATATTTAAGTTCGTTCAATTTCATGTCAATGTTCCTTAGAAAAGGCGACGTCTGTTAGGATACATATGTAGAATATCCCCAAAGTGGTGAAGGGTATCATATAGTCGGCCCAGTCCGACTTTACTACTTTCCTTACTGGTTTAAATTTGGAGAAGGATTGTGATGGCCAACAGATGCTACTGTGGTCTAAGTAAACAGTTTAGAACCAAGACCAGACCAAACTCACACTCACACACAAGACGCTGATACTATCCGTGCTGTTATATGGATTTGAAGCATGGGTACTTGCGCAAGCAGATGAGGCAGCTCTTGGGTGTTTGAAAGAAAAATTCTCCGAAAGATCTACGGGTCGATCTGCGTCGACGGTGAATATCGACGTCGAATGAACCACGAGCTTTACAATTTATACGCAGACATCGCCACAGTCAGTCGTATTGCGAATGAATGAGAATGTCCCAGCTCAACAGGCGAGCCTACTGAGGGTTCCTGTAGAAGGGGAAGGCCACGCTTGGAAATACCTATGGTGGAGGCTTTTTTTCCACCTGTTACTGTTTGGTACTTTTTCTACATTTTATTAAGTCTCTGAATAACCTCATACACCAACCGTAATGTCCGATGGACCTCAGTATGTCTTCCTCATAAACAACGCCTTCACAAATTAAATAAAAAACAACTCAAATAAAATTTCAATCCATTTATTTGTTTTTAAACATTAAAACAACTTAAAATTCGAGAAAAAATACAATGACTATTTTTTACATTTATGCAAAGAGACGGGTTCTTAAAGAATTTCGTTCAATTAGAAACCATGTGTATAACGTTTTTTATTTTTATTTTATTTAAAAAAAGTGGTATTTTTTTAAGACAATTTTATTATTATTTTTTGTTCGACATTTGTTCCACTTAGAGTTGTACTAAGAACTACATAAATTTCATAAAATATTACATTGAAATTTTACATTTGTTTGTGTTTTTAATATTAATAAAAAAATATCTAATATAGAATTACAATTTTCTTTTGTACAAAGTCATTACTATTTGCCGGAAGTAAGACTTCCAATTCGATGAAAACTAAATTTGCTTTTGTCTGGATTCTTATTGGCTAAACAACTACACATGTAAGTATGTTTTTTTGTTTGTTTTGTATGTGGGAGTGTGTTCCGATAAATACACTTTCAAATGCAATATCAATTCTGGTGTATAAGCCTCGAAGGTTGTGCGCTCATTTTATTTTGCCGTGAATAGAAAATAGAGCGAGCACACTACTCAACATCAAGTATCCAAAGTATCCAATTAATTTGAATATTAATAGCTTTTTTTTCAAAATTGAAAAAGAAGATACAAAAAATAGCAAAGTTTCCTGTTTTACAGTTCCACAACAAACCACACTATTAATTTCCTCACTCATCATTATCATCGTCCATACCTGCTGCGGCATTACTGCTCTACAGCCGTGGACTATCTATCACTGTTTGAACGGTACAACTATTTACCCGGATACTAGAATTACCAGTCAAGCATAAATTCCCATTTTGTGGTTGGGAACGCTTACGTCGAAATCTTTTACCACCTCCGCCACCGCTACCCGCACCACCACCAACGATGCCACACCACTGCATTCCCTTGAATGTATCGAGAAAGGCTCGTCGAAAATTGGCATTCATGAAACAGTAGGTGATCGGATTACAGCAACTCGATGAGTAGGCAAGCAACTGTAATGCACTTATCGATTTGTAATCAATGTATTCGTAAATGGCCGCACCAATATACATGGCCACAGTGTTGATGACATATAACGGGGTCCAGCATATGAAGAACTCCAATACCAATACAGATAACATTTTAACGACACGCTTTTTACTTTCGAGATTTTTGGCCATGTTATTTCTGAAAGCAGAGAAAGATAAAATTCTGATATGAATATTAATATTAAGGCATATTAAAAACCAGTGAGGAAAGTTCAAAAGTCGGACGGGGCCGACTATATGATACCCTTCACCACTTTGGGTACATACAAGAGACACTCATATGTGCAATATCCTTTGGATAGAATAGACATATCATCTGTGGATGACCATTGAAACGGAATCTAACCTGAAGTTGTAGATATTTGAACTAAAATAAAACAACCCATACAGATACAATCTGAAATCCAAAATTTATCTCGAAACTTAATCCAATACACGTTATTTGGTACGTTGTGCACTAATTCGTCCTAAGCGGACAAACTTTACTTATTTGGTACATCATTTTAATGAAATCGGATGAAATTATATATGGAAGCTATATTTAAACTTGAAAGGTTTTCGATTCAATACGCTATGCAATATTTCATGTAAAGCGAGCAAACATAGGCTCCTCCATTTGCATAAAATCGGACTAAAGTATATATGGGAGCTATATTTAAATCTGAACTGATTTCAACCAAACTTGGAATTTAATCTAGACCTAATTCAGTACTCTGTGCAAAATTTTGTCTCAATCGGACCAATATTGGGAGTTTGGTGCACCATTTCATTCTAGACTAAATTCAATACACGCTGCAAAATTTTGTGAATATAGAACATAGATTCCTCGGTGCTCCATTTACCTAAAATCGGACTAAAATCGGAGCTATATCTAAATCTGAATCGATTTCAACCAAACTAAGC